GCTGGTCAAGTGTCTGGATAAGAAACAGATAAATTAAATCACGTTTTACTCTACATGAGCAGCTTTTGTTCAACCCAAAAAGTCCATGTCACCCTACCTCACTCTCGGCAAAATGCCTCTCTCCTTTTAGGCAAAGTGAGGTGCGTCTCAATGTTCTCTCATCACCATCATCAAAAACTACAATAAGCAAAAGAGATAAAATTTATGTCCACAAATATAAAATTAAGTGCACAGAATATGATTATCACTACTTATCTAGAGCTTAATATTTGCAAGAACATTACTTGTTATTTTTCAAAACCTTTTAAAATGTACAAAGCACATGTACATTCTATAAGTACCAAAGAAAAGGTCAAATGACTACCCCCATATGCTTAACTGTCTCCATTCACTTTTTTCAATTCCTAACACCACAGAACCACCTTCTTAAACCATTAGCGATATATTTAAAAGAAAGATATTAAATTAACTCTACTCCTAAAAGAATGAGCAAAAACCTGGTTTAAGAAAAAAGAAGTGTTAAGGCTTTTTTTCCTCAAATTATTGTTGGAATATCTCTAACTTCAAGAAACTGGTTGAATTATGATGGATTATTCTACTGCTTCTGCTTGTTTGTATGATAACCTGCCATAGCAGATTCTAAAGTCATAAAATTCAACTTTTTCCTTTTGGTAGAAGAGGATGTAAGAAGTTTAGACATAAAGGTTAAAAATGAGGAAATCATCAGAAAGATGAACTTTTTAAAAAATTCTAAAAAATAAATGAAGTTTTGTTTCTTTTTTTTTTGTTGTTTTAAGAACAACAAAAAAAAGCTTTTACTTCTACTTTAATTTTTAGCCCGGCTGGTGTGGCTCAGTGGATTGAGTGCCAGCCTGCACACTGAAAGGTCACTGGTTCAATTCCCGGTCAGGGCACATGCCTAGGTTGCAGGCCACAGTTGGGGGCGTGCAAGAGGCAACTCATCCATGTTTCTCTCACACATCAATGTTTCTCTCCATGTCTTTCTCCCTCCCTTCCCCCTCTCTAAAAATAAAGTAAAATCTTAAAAAAAGAGGTAACAATATAGATTTTGAAAATCATACTTCTTGAAAACTATGCCCAAATGTTTCAAGGAAATCAGGGTAAAGAATTTAATAGTGTTTACATGTAACTAGCTTTATTCTTTTTATAATTTTATAGGTTTAATTTTTCAGAAATGTACTCTGATTTTAACTAACTTTTACAAAGCTTATTTTTAAAAAATATTCTCAGAAGATACCTGACTGCCCAGCACTATGAAGAAATAAAATATAAGATGGATTCCTTAACTCAGATACTTAAAATGCACAGACATATCAACAAATGTTTGTACATTTTATGAAAAGAACATATACATGGGAAAGCACACATATATACAAAAATGTTTAAGATTTAATCCTGTTTTTTCATAATTCTAGATGTTTTTCCATCCTAACAGAATAAGTGTTAATAAAATTTTACATTACCTTGATATAATATCTTAGATCTTTTACCTAATCTATATAATTACAATCTTGCACTTTTAAAAAGGGTGGTTTCATTAGTACTTTGTCTTCAGATCATAAACTTAATTTTTCACGCTAGAAGCTTAATTATGTAAGAGCACTCAAGTTCCTCAATATTTATCTACCTCAGTCAGTTCTTTTTCTTAGACTAAAGCCATCTAGTTTAGAATCTTCTACATGCAGGAGATAATGCAGACACAATTAAAAGCTCCTGAAGTACATATTCAAAGAACCATGATGATCCCACAAAGGCAGCTGTTTTATACGCTGTCAGTGATGCAGAAATTAACCACCACCTACAGACAGGCACCATGACAGAATAAAACAACACCCTTCAACAATTACATCATTAATCTATACTTGACGAACAGTGCTCTAAACATCTGGGTCAAAATTACGATTCTTATGGTGTCAAGTCTAATAAATAAACCATTGTTCTTTGTAAATCTCAAAATTGTAAAATTATCATACTAAACAAAAACAATTCTTTGCATTAATATTAATGTCTGTAAGTACGTTAAAGAATAAAATCTTTAAAGTTCCCATTGTCTTTAATGCCTACAATACTAAAGACTGACACTGGACATACACATACATACTCATGTACACACACACTTAAGTAGAGGTGTGAGGAAGGAAAATGAGAATGTAAGACAAATGAATAGTATCAAATCTATACAACAAATCTTTCCCTCAGCTTTTTATCATTAATCATTTCATTGGTCATATTTTACCACAAGTAGAAGTAATGTTAAGAATCAGAACTTCTCAAAAGGGGATTGTGATGCAAACAAGAATTTTACAGCTTTACAGAGGAACCTTTCCCACTTCAAGTGCACAAAGAGAAACATTAGACTTTCTTAAATTCATAAACCTATACAAAACTGTGTATTTGGGTACTTTATACAAGTTTGTTAAGCAATGCAACTCCTCAAGATTTTCTGGAAGACAAATAGAAAACCCAACAATATAGTGAACCTATTAATCATGACATTCCTGATTATCAAAATCAAGAAGTTCCATCTGTAAGAAGTTTTCTTTACAATGTCCAAGAATCATGTAAAAGAACACAAAATTTGTAGGCATTGAAGAGTGACTCTGGCATTTTGATAAAAGTGAAATAATTAACTGGTATATATAGTAAATTTAGCTTAAGTTGAAGCTGTGTACACAGCATGCCAAGAGAGTAAGAAAAAAACTATTAGGATTTAGTAATTCTATCAAATTTCTTAATTTGCAAAAAATGGTATTTAAACAGGTTATTCATTGAGTGCAACAGAACAAACAAAATATAACAAAAGTAGTATCTCTGCTATTCTATTACATATAAACACTAAAGACTAATTTGAGAAAAATGATAAAGCTGATTAATATTAATCATACTCAGCAAAATAACGCCAATGCAAAAAAAAAAAAATACCAATAGGTATTTTTAAATAGGAGTTAATATCCCTGACTCATTGTTAATTTTTGATCACCAGTGATCATAATTCCTATTTGATCTAAACCAGCAGTTTGATACCCCCCTTTGTTTCATTTTTAATATTCTGACATAATCTCAAGATCTTTTAAAAAGTCCTGATGAACATTTGTACTTTGTATAACTTTGTTTCTACCTATACAACACTGAACTAGAAATCAAGAAAAATTGCAGAAAAGAGCAATTAAACCCAAGAGGTAGTAGGCACTCAATTAAAGAAAAACACAGAAAATTCATGACCTGTAAGAGAACATTTTATGTTGCCATCTCTTAAGCTCATTATATTAAAATCATTCCTTATGTGGTCTACATCCTTCAATACCTAAACATTCTTCATAGCAGAGTGCTGTATTGAGTATACTCAAGTCAACAGTGCCTCTTAATGCCTTAATTTTTTCAGGTCATTCCCTCTCATTATGCATATGCAAAAATCTTAAATATTTTTAATTTTTCTCTTGAATAAGTATCTGTTTGTCCAAGCGTGGTTTGTTTTTTAAGTGTGTTCTAGCTACATTAGATTCAACCATTTACATATAAAAAGTCTTGGGTTGCCACCCCAAGATATACTAAATTAAAGATCTGGGATCCTCAAATCTCATTTTTTAAACAAGCACCAAGTGATTCTTATGTACACTAATGATTGTGATACGTGAATTATATGCAATTACAATTCTAAGCTCTTTGAGAACAATTATACAATTTCTTCTGTAATTACTCATCATAGAAAATCACCATAGAGAATGCTCAGTAGCAACTAGTTTTTAGAAATGCTAAAATGTCTTTCATGCAAATGACTGAGATTGCTATTCATAATTGAAGGATTATTCTGCGGTCCAGAAACCGAGAATGTGAAAACCTGACAAGTGCTGCTTCTGCAGAAGTGTGAGTACTGTATCAGTAAAACTATTCAAGTACTGTGAATGCAACCTTGATATTGGGTACCAAATAGAATGCAGTATTAGTATTTGAACCTGCCTCATATAATTCTCCGTGATTCTGAACACATGAACTCCTGTAATTTTTACCAGTGCCTTTTTTATATAGCAACACTCTATTTACTTTATCTAGAAGAGTTAACATTAGTTTAGTTTTTAAATCTCTAACAACTACCAATAGCCACAACTAAGCTTCCTAAATATATGTAGTTCAGAGGAGTAGGCCATTGTGAACCAATACCAACTTCTAGGTCCAAGAATAAACATGTTGGCAGCTCTGGCCGAGTAGCTCAGTCGGTTAGAGCATTGTGCCAATACACCAAGGTTGAGGGTCAGATCCCCAGTCTGGGTACACAGAAAAGAATCAACCAATAAATGCATGGATAAGTGGAAGAGCAAATCAAGTGTTTCTTTCTCTCTCTCTCTTTAAAATCAATTTTAAAATGTTTTTAAATGGATAGAAAATAGTAGTTAGGTACCATAAATCGCTAGTAATACTAATAAAAGCCACAGAGAAAAAAAAACACAGTAAGTACAATTTTTAACCAAAGCATGTTCTTCACAGGTTTGGCCATCAACTGGAGATGAATGAAGCTAAAAGTACACATAAGGGCCATTTCTCTTCCTTCTACAAGGAAAACACAACACTATCGTTATACTATTTATATCAAGACATAAAGTAAAAACCAAACAGTGCTACAGATTTTCAGTATAAAACCAAGAACTGGATGTTATCTACAGAATTGAATAGTTTGGAAGTACAGAGAGAAAATTTAGAAATGTTAATTCTTGGTATTTTCATCACCATAATGACAACAACTATGTAAGTACTACATTTAGGTATTAATTTATTTGTATTATGCCACTTGCTGCTACTCACTAAACCTTTTTAAAGCCAGCATAAGGTTACATATACATGGAATGTGAGAGTGCATTCATATTAGTAGCATCTTTCTTTCTTTCTTTCTTTCTCTTTCTCTCTCTCTCTTTTCTTTCTCTCTCTCTCCCTTTTCTTTCTTTCTTTTCTTCCTTCCTTCCTTTTCATTCTTTTTGTCTCTCTTTTCCTCCCTTCCTTACCTCTCTCTTCATGTCATCCTTTGCACAAGGGCCATGCTAATCTTCTCTGTATCATTTCAGTTTTAGTATATGTACTGCCAAAGCTAGCATGTATATATCTTTCTTGAAAGGCGTTATTAAGAGAGCCCTCGCTATATCTAATTTCAAAAATTAAACTATGATTATCTAGGCTTAAATCTATTCTGGTAAGATTTTTTTTGGTCTGTAAATTCTATGTTAACATCTACATTATTACCCTTATATAAAACAGGCAGCAATACAATAAAAGATTGCAACTATTCAATCTTAATTGTAATTACAGAAAAAGTTAAAAAGTGATTATTTACAATACTAGGTTGTACTGACTTTTCTTATGGAACAAAAATAACCATACTTTTATTTAACTTTAATTTCTTTTCAATTTAACTTTCTCGAAAAGAAATATGAAGATAACCTAAAAAGAAGTACATTCTTGGATGAAATAGCCACAAGTGGCAGAGTTACTATGAGAGAAAATTATTTTTGTTACTGCCAGATGTCGAAATTTTAGCTAACTATATCAAGTAAATTGACAGGAAAGAATACGTATTTCTCTGACAACATAATGACTCAGAGTATTTACAAAATAGAGGTATATGCAACCCCCAAATCAAATCCTATGGATTAAGTTACTACTTAACTACTTACCCACAGTATACCAACTAGCATCTGTCAACTTGCTGATAATAGCTTCTTGAAAAGACCCATCAGATGTCCTTGTTTCAACAATAGCTCCAACCTGAAACACAAAATTGAAATTTTATTACCAAATTTAAACAAACCAAATCACTACCACCTGTGTAAAAAAGAAAAACAAAAACAAAAACAAAAAAAAACCCAGAATAATTCTACCTTTCATGGGCTTAGATCTTTATCACTTAAAGTGCTCATAAATTTATCATGCAATTTGAGCCTCTCTTTGGCATAAGAAAGCTAACATTACCCATATTTTACACAGTGAAAATTGTGACTCAGAAAGAGTAAATAATTTGCAGAGCACAGGATGAGAACCTAGTCACTTAAGCCTTCAGAGCTTTTCTACTATAACCCATTGTCTTCAAAAAATTGTGGAATATCAGAACCAAAAAACCACATGACACTGCAGAAATAGCTTCAATTTTCTTTCAAAGAAATATTAGACTCAGCATTTGTATTTCAGAGACCTTTTGGATAATGATTCATCTGGAGAGAGAGCAATGAACCAGTTGAACTTCTTCCAGCTTCCAGACCTTTGTATATCAGATATTAACCAAAATGGTACTCAGATATAACAAAGATTACAAAAAAAAGGCCAGAAATGAAAACATAAGTACTCATTAAATTGAATTAAGAAGCCTACATAGTTTACTTGATAAGTTGGAAAGAAAAACAGCAGATTCAGACTTATAACATTAGCATGTTACTTAGAAAGCTAAACATATATGATAACAATGTAAAAAAAAAAAAAATGAAGCATTCGGTCCAAGAATTCAAGACAAAAGGTGGCTAAAAAATCATGTTTATATATATTATTCTTCTGTAAGATGTTTAACATTCTTAAATTAAGGACAAAGCCATTGTAACATCATATTTATACTAACTATATAACACCACATTTGTATTTATGTTTTCCAATTAAGAGTCTTATAAAATTTTAAAATTATATCTACAGATGTAAAAATTCTACAAGTTAATGTATGAATGCATCATTTCAGATTTTTTTTAAAAGATTTTATTTGTTTAATTTAGAAAGAGGGGAAGGGAGAGAGAGACAGGGAAAGAAACATCAATGTGCTGAGAAACATCAATCAGTTCTCGTATACTCCCAACTGGGGACCTGGTCCACAACCCAGGCATGTGCCCTGACTGGGAAATATACTGGTGGCCTCAGGGTTTGCAGGCCAGCACCCAACTCACTGAGCCACACCAGCCAGGGTTCATCATTTGAGATTTTAAACTGTAGAACATACGTACTCTTAATGGACCCTTTACTTGGTCATCTTGCACCAACTGTGTAGTATTGTCCTGTTTCAGGAGTACCTGAAAAATATTTTTGCACAGTAATTCACATGCTACTTTTAAAACAATACATTTATGGTAACACTGTAACAATGTGTTTAATCTATGCTTTCTTAGTATCCTGTGGTTACTTCTGTTACAATACTTATTACATTGTCTTTTATTTATGTTTATGATCTCTCTCATTAACTGTGAGCTCCTTGAGGGCTAGAGTCCTCTTTCATCACTATGGGCCCAGCAGTTAGCAAATGTCAATGCATATTACAGGCACTTAATAAATGTTTGTTGAATTAATGAACTATAACTAAGATTATTAAAAACATTTGTATAGGAAAATTACTATAAGGAAACAAAAAATGTTAAAAGTATTTCTGAGAGATAAGTGATTGGCATTAATCATTTGGTACATTTCTATATTTTAAATAGAGTACAGGAATAATGTTAACTTTTTTCTGGTCATAAAAATGTCTTAAAAATAAAATTTCTAAATCATTTTAAATGCTGCCTTGAAAATACAATTCCCACTGTACTCAACTTTTCCTAATCACTTGAAATTGTCTCAATGTGAACATTATGAAAAAGGAGAAAACAGGTTATAGCCTACATAAGCATGATACCACTAACAGGAAAGATCCAAACGATAGGAAGTATCACAAGCATGGTATTTTCATGGAAGCATTTTGGAAAAATTTCTCATTTTGAGTTCTTTATTTCTCAAATCTTAATGTGCTTTTACTGGAGTTTTAGGTATAATGGTACTTTCACATGGTAATGATTCAGTAAGTGAACTAATGATTCAATAAAATGTTGATTTGCAGCCTGCCCCCTCCCAGATACTTTTCAATCCAGGCTTAATAAAGCTGTTGCATAAAAAGGAAAAAAAATTACCTTAACTTTTACCAGCCTTTTCACAGTCTTAATTTTTGCCTCACAGAAGGCACCTCGGTACTTGGCACTTACATCAGTCCCCACTGTCAGGTAGGCAGGCTCATCCGCCGCCTGATGAAAGGAAGATACAGCATGAAATTCACTGCTGCTTTCCCCTGCTTCAACCTCAAGTCTCATTAAAAGGTTCTATGTTTAAAGTAATAAAAATGATAACACTATTTGCTTATTAAAATCACTGATAACTTGAAAAATATCCCAAAGCAAACACTATTTATTAACAATCCCCTATTTTATAAATTATATTCTGATAACCTAAAACATTTTACATAGTAACTGGAAAGTATCAGTAGGGAAATACAATATTTCTTCCCCTAGAGACAAAATATTTTGACAACTTTACAATTTATTTAATAAATTAAAAATTAAAAAAGAAAATTATGCATATTAAGTATCTTGTAATACTTTAAGTTATACAATTATAGCCATTATACTTTGTTATTCAATTATGTCCCCCAGAAAATTTTGTTTCCAAGTTAAAATATAATGTTATTAAAATTAACATCAATAATACATAATTAAATGTTTATTAATATAGCTACATAGAGGCAACATCTTTTTGGATACAGTATAACTGCACAGACAAGAAATGAATTCAATCCTTTTGATAAGGAGAGCATTATTTGAAAAAAATCATTGGCTAAAAGCTGCATTTTAAAGGTTTAAGTCTGATAAATGCAGAGATATAAACTGATGGCTCAAGACTTGCAGCTCTACCAGTTTACTACACTAATCTTTTTGAGAGAGAGAGAGAGAGAGATAGCTTTAGTAAGAAATGCCTACTTTTAGTCAATGGCTCTAAAATACATCGAAAGATATGAGAAATTTCATTCTACAATTCATTTTGATCTTGACAATAGCAGAATGATTGTTATCTTGATCTGTCATTTTACCTTTTTTTCCTTCAAAAAGTATACTCATACAACTTTGATTCAACATTGCCAAGTACAAAAGTTACAGTTGCACTTTGGAGATATATTTTTAAGTAGAAAATAATTTTCATTTTCCAGTAAGGTTTCCCAGGTAACATTAAAGGTTATACGTGTCACTTTGAGGAGATAAGAAAGCAAGAGAAAATCTGGGAAAATGCTGTATTTCAGAGCTTATTACACTGAAACAGTAAATGACTAAGGAATAAAGTACCTCATAAAGTTAGTATATTTAAACACTACACTTTCAGGAATCATTTCTATAGTTCATCACTAAAGTTAGTGTATTTACAAATAATGCAAATTGAAAAGGAATATTTTTAGCAAATATTGAATATCTGATGTGAAACATTCTATGCTACAGCACTACAGACTGCTCTACCTTCCTTTCCCTTTAAACATCACCCATGTTTGCAATATTAGTTGTCTTCAGAAGAATATATACATATATATTTATTAGGTTGGCTGTATGTTTAAAAATACTTTTTATAACTATTAGTTTTAGTTCACTTTCAATATTTTAGCCAAGGAATTTCACTTTATCCCCAGCAGAAAATGATAGCTCCCTTACACGATCACATATTGTTCCTTAGAAACTCACAATGGCACTGGGGAAGAATAAAAATTTCAGAAAACTCCCCCAAAGAACAAAACCAGGACAAAAGCTTTACTTCTGCAAAGGTTGCTGCCAACACAGGAAGTGTTTAAAAATACTAGCCCAATGGACAACAATGGAAAGGCTACAACAGCCTTTCCAAAGTGCTAACTGCTTCGGAGAGGGGCCGAAATGACTGCTTTTAGACACAATGATCATTTCTCACCCATTCAACACGTCCTCCTTTTCAGAAAGCGCAGCTTGGCAGAGGAATCAATTTTGAGTAGCAAAAAAAAAATTAAAAATTAAAAAAAAAAATCCACAGAGCACTAGCCTCTCGACAGGCAGTGTCCAGGGCACGAGGTTCGGAGCAGTGATGATGATTCCACTTACCTTCATTTTTATTGGTGACCTATGGGGTTCCAGCTCAACCAGCTATGTTCTCCGTCGCTACAACCAAAGGGGAGAAAGACAAGCCAGAATCAGTCTTCATGGGGGAGCGACCCAAGGAAAGAAAGTAAACAAACGCCAGCGGGGAGGGGCAGAACCCTCACCAGCAATGGGATAAGAAGATCCCCTCCGAGGGTAACTGGGACGCAGAGGCTGAGAGGGCAGCGAGAACCCCGCGGGCGCCCGTTCCGCCCCGGACTTCGCCAGCGGCCCACCGCGCCCCCGCCTCGCTCGCCACTTTGACCCGGAATGCTCAACTCGGATCCCCAGGACCGATCGCTCTGGAAAAGGACACGGAGCCGTTTGCGCTTCCCCTAGTCCCCGATAGGCGCGGTCGCCCAGTCTTTGCTCGGCCGCCCCCCGGATACCCTGACTTCGGCCCGCGCCCCGCCTCCGCCGCTCGGCCCCCTCGGCCCGCCCCGGGCCCGCGGTGGCGGCAGCGGAGTGTCACGGCGCCATTGCTCTCCTTCCTCCGCTCTGCACCCTGTCAGAAAGAAGAAGCGCTTCTTCACCCGAAGTGGCAGGGGCCGAGGCCTTCAGCGGGAGGCGCGAGGGTGCGGGGAGACCCGTGCAGAGGAAGGGGGCTGGGAGGGCGGAGAGGAGGAGGGAGGTGGCTCGGACAGTGTGTGGGAGGGGAGGGGAGCCGCACAGCGGCAGCCACCGCCTCCTCCCTGCGCCCGCCTCAACTTTTTGTACAGCCCAGAGAGGTACCTGCCCCCAGCCTCTCGGGTCCTGCAACGGACTCTACACTGGAGGACGCACCGCGGAGTTGGGGGCCGGCTCCCCAAAGCAGCCCGCTCTTCGCCGCACGGAAGCAAACTTAGCGGCGCGGCTAGACCCACAGCCATTTTCCCGGGGAAGCGGCCGAGACTGCGGCGGCGGTTCCCGCACTTGCTATAGCTACTCCACTACTTGCTCCTTCCCCTGCGCTCAACGCACCGCTAGCCTAGCACCCCCTTCCCCACCTCCAAAGCTTCCGACTGCACTGGGACCCCAGGCAGAAGCAGCAGCTGCTATTGCCGTTTGGTCCATTCAGTATCCCCCACTTCCCTCCTCCCCACCTACCAACTGCGGGTGAAGTGCGCGCTGTCAGCTCCCTAGGCCTCCGCCCCACTGACCAGCGCGGGCCCCCGGATAGGCAGCACCACTCTTGGCCGTGGCGGCAGTTCCTGCGCCCGGTTCCCCACTCGTCCGATTTACTGCCACAATCCACCAAATAACAAGCTGTTGAGCAGGCTCGCTTCTACACGAACTCTTATTGGCTGCTCATGACGCCGAAGAGCTTCGGATTGGAGATCGCTACCTGCCGTCCTCATTGGATGTGACTCTGAAACTTCACGGATTGGTGCGAAAAACAGCAGGTAGGACATCTTCCACTTATGATTGGCTGCCTCCGAGGTCTAACATTACTGGAAAATCAGGTATTGAGTAAGCAAGTACTGAAAAAGGATTGGTAGGAAAGATTCCGGATGTGCTTGATTGAGCACTGATTGGTAAATTGAGGGGTCAGGAAGAACAGTTCCGCGCGAGGATTGGCACTGGAGTGTCCCATGGAAACCGAACCCAGAGCTGCAGCCAGGACTTTTCACGGGGGCGGGACAGGGTCTTTCCAAGGCGCATGCGCTAAACTTGCTTCTCGGCGCCATTTTGTCTAAGCGGCGGTGGCTGCAGTTCTATCGCGTTTCATGTTTCTGGAGAGACGATCGGGAAGTCCTCCTTCCGTAGATTCTTTTTAGTGCGGCACCCGTCCGCGGTTCCCTCCAGAACATGATCTAATGAAGATCGGAGGAGTCGCGGGTCTGTTTAAAAGGTCAGTTGGAAGCTATGGTTGTCCGATTGACTGGGGGATGGCGCAGCTTTAGCGGCACCGGAAGTGAAGGGGCCACTGGGCAGCCATGGCAAAGTTCTCCTGAGGCGGGGTGGGAAGTGGAGGGCGGGATGAGAAGGGGGCGAGGCTTCCTCTCCCGCCGCGAGAGAGCGAGAGAGGCGGAGGGGAAGTCTCTTTTTCTGGGCTGTTCGTTGGTTTTCTCTAGAGAACATGGGAGGGTTTTTGGGGTCTGCTCCTCTCCGAACAGCTTTTTCTCCCTTTTGAAGTGTATTCCGGGAATTTGTCACAGTCTCAACCAAGTGCCACTGGTTGTAGGCGCCTCCTTCATTAAGACGGGAAAGGCAAGGTTCTCAGACGCGGTGCGTGGGGACAGGTGTTTCCGCGTGCTCCTCACACAATTAAACTCTGGGTTTCGGGATCCTGAGGAATTCACTTGCTAGCACACACGCTGCTACTCTGACCTTAGACAGGCAACTATTCCGCACTGCACGAGTAAAGCAGCGGTTTTGCAGGGACAGAAAACACCTTAGATAAAAAGGACCTCCCAATAGCACTGTTCAGAACATGCTTTGGTCTTGTTCTCTTAGCAAAATCTTGTATTCTATTAAATGAAACAACATTTAAAATGGTGGAAACGGAGCAAGTTGTTACAAAGTTATAAAAGTATCGTTGATGGTACACGTTTAATGAATCTACTCAAAAAGAGAACAGCTTAGCTAAAACCGAATCAATTTTTCATTCATAGCCATGATGAGTGAAATGTATGTTAGTATTTCTATTGAGTGATCCAGTGGCACTGATCTGGATAGCTTCTTTAAAATTATCCTTATAATACCTGTTTTGAACACTATGGTTCAGTGTTTAATAATTTACTGAGTTTTGTTGGCAGTTGGTCTGAAGAGAACAGGACCTCTCAGTGACAAATACCCGGAAGTGTTACTGAGGTGAGTTCTAACATCTGTAAAAATCTAAAATTGGGGAGGGTGCTTGGAAAAATTTTTTGTGGACCAGTAAAGTAGAGCCATAATGGAAAAATGGTCATTGAAAGGTGTTTTGTTTGGTCCAGGGTTCAAATGAGTCTGTACAATTAGCTACAAGGTGATATTTTTTAGAATGAAACCTCATAGTCAGGACACACTTAGGAATTTGTCTACTCATTCATGTGGTTCCCATTTCTGGGTTTTTAAGTACTTAATATTTTTTATCATGGAATAATACGAACATTTTTATGAATTTTTTCTTCCAGTTTAAAAATCTGGCATATAAAAAATGTATTACTGTAGGAGTTCGGAAGTGATTTTTTTCTTCCCTTAGGGAAATTATAAAACAACACTGCTGAACTTCCCAGGGGTAATCACCTCTAATTCCAAAATACAACTTTCAGCTGTTATTACCCAATAACATGTCAGAGGGCATTTGTAAATCTAAAAAAACAAAAAGAATGCAAAAATCTCTTGTATTCCCTCCACCAAAAGATAATTACAGTTTATACTATATATATTATAAAAAGGGGTTTCACTTTTTCATTGATTTTGTTTTAGAAAATAAACATTATTTGAGCTAATTTTGTCACCCATGTTTTTTCTATATAGAAAATACTGGGAACACAGGAAATTTTGTTCTTAAACCATTTTCATGGCTGCATTGTGTTCTGTAGTATAGGTGCACAATAATTCATATACCGTGATCTCTTTAAGTTTTCTGTTATAGCAATATGTCTGAATATCTGTATATATTTTGCAAGATTTTGCCTAAGAACTGATGCCTATGGCTGAAATTTCTAAGCCACAACTTTTCCTTCACATCCCTGATTATTTCTTTAGAATAAATTCCCGGAAGTGGAAATGTAAGGCCAAAGGGATTGTCCCTTCAGGACTCTTGATCCTTGTACAGGTTTTCCATCTGAAAGCTTTTGCTTACATTTTTGTTGTCCTTTTTGCTTTTCCTACATTTTTCTTCAACTTTCTTGTTTTTCACTAGCTTTTTTTCTTTTAATTTCTCTCCTAGGTCTGTTTATTCAAGTAGAATTATTACAGTCTAAGTCACTTGTGTAGTAAAATAAATTTGAGAATTTTTATTGGACCTTAGGAATAATTTCTTAAAACTAATTTTTTTAATAGTTACGCATTTATGCAGTGAAACATTTTGCTACACAGAAATGCCATTTAGAGGTTGCTAAAAACAAATTGTTTTTATCATATAGTCAGTTGAATTTAACTATCTTAAGTTTCCTGTAGCCTTCCCTAAAGTTTTTCATCCTTGTGCATTCTCTTGTTGCTTTTGTACCCTCACAAGGACCCATTGCATGTTCCTGGTAACCTTTGCCTAGCAGTGGTTTGGCTCTTCCCCAGTTTGAGACAGTACTTCCAGAGGACAGCTTTCCTACCTAATACATGATAGATGCTCTGTCAGTATTTCTTATAAATCTGTATGTACTTTCATACACAAAATATGTAAAATAAGCTAACTTAGGTTTTCTTTAACAATTCTTTTTGAGGATTCATGATGTTCCACAGATGTCTTAAACTTCAAAATATTTTTAATGGTCGAAATAGTGATTTAATCCAAATTGATTTGTAATTACTAATGTAATATAAATTTAGGGAAGTCATTAACAATAATTATTCTAGCCCTGACCTGTGTGGCTCAGTTCGGGATTGTCCCACAAAGTGAAAGGTTGCTAGTTCCTTTCCTAGTCAGGGCACATGCCTGGTTGTGGGGATTCAGTCCCTAGGTGTGAGATGCAACCAATTGATGTTTATCTCTCGCATGGATCTCTCTCTCTTTCTCCCTCTCTCCTCTCTCTAAAAATAAATTTTAAAAATCTGTTTTAAAAAAAGTTATTCAAGATTTTGTTTTCTCAGTTTTTTAAAATAGGATTTTATGATCTCTTAAAGGCAAGTGTAACTAAAGTCACTAGGCCATCTCTTAGATATGAATGAAAGAAAATTGTGATAGATGTATTCTTTGTAAACTACTTTAACAGGCTCAAATTAATAGAATATTGTTTCCTACAAAATCAAAATTATCAAATTTTTAATTGCTTCTGTCAGTGAAATACTATTTTAAAAGCAGAATGTTTTGTTCATTTGGACAGGGGTTTCAGTGAGGCTATATAATTAGCTTCCCAACGTAGTACTTTAGACTGAAATTGCAAAAGTAGAACATCCCTGTGGATTTGTTTACCCATGCACATGGATTTCATTTCTGGATTCTTAATCCAGAACATGGTGAACACTGTCATGATTTTTTTTTTTTTAACCTGTGGTAAAATACTTGACATATAGTATGTCATTTTGGTGAAAGTTTAAAAGTGAAGAAATTTTTTTTAATGGAAATTTAAAAATAGTCTGCTCTGATTATGTGGGCTATAGCATACTCAAATCGAAAAGAAGTCTCTTCTAGGCTGAGTTTCATTTTGTGAAAAAATGAAGGAAGGTGTTCCAGTTTTTAAACACCTGCATTTGCTATCTGTTGAAAATTATATTTCTGGTAAAAATATTATTATTATTATTATTATTATTATTATTTTAAGGTTTTATTTATTTTTAGAGAGAGGGGAAGGGAGGGAGGAAGAGAGGGAGAGAATTAATGATGTGAGTAACATCAATTGGTTGCCCTCTCACACTCATCCCATCAGGGTACCTGCAAGCCAGGCATGTGCCCTGACCAGGAATTGAACTGGCAACCTTTCGCTATGTGGGACAACACCCAGCCAACTGAGTCACACTGGACAGAGCTTAACTATTCTTTAGTAATCAAGGTTGGTCATGTTACTGTTACATATATCTTTTTTGAAAAATGATAGAATATGTTCCACTGTACAGCTGTTTTGTGTAAAAGCGTAGAGAAGTACAACATTCCTGTGTTGATTGTAGCTACTTTTTGATTCCTAATGATTTGGGGGTTTTGTTCAGTTGGTTGGGTTTTTGGGGGGTTTGTTTTTTCTTTTGTTTGTTTTTGGAAAGTTACAAAGTTTGCTTATTTGTAACCAGAGCAACCTTTGCAATCACTGTATGGTCTTTTGCCCTACTGGATGTCTCTGTTGATTTTATGGCCACATGGAGTCACTGATACTGGTTTTCTTTCATTTATAATTAAAACTATAATGACAGCATATTTTAGGATTTGGATTCAAGCTGATCTAAATTACCTAGTGGCATTTTTATATAGCAGGGATCTGTGCTTGAGGACCTTACTATAAATAAAAGGAAGAACATAATTAAACATGAGGAAAGAAAAATAGTTATTTCAAAAGATTCAACCAATTTAGATAACTTTTTAAATATTTAAATCATGAATCACAACGATAATAGATCTATGAAAAGTTTAGTGTACAGTCAGCCGCTTTTAAGAGGACAAATTGATAATGCAGAACAGAAATTTGCTTAACTAATCATTGAAGACTTTTCAAAGTTAGTGACATGTAATATGTAAAAGTAGAAGAAAGGAACACATTCTGAGTAGATGGAAGGTTATGATCAAGAATACAGTTATATAAGGAAAGCTATATTTGGGACAGTGAGTAAACCAGTTTGGAGAGGATGACTGGCTAAAGATTACATTGGGAAAATTGTGTGAGGCCAACTTGTCAGTGTTTCTAGAATTAGCAGAACATCAGAGTTACTTGGGGTGCTTGTCCTCTATACAGGTTTCAGAAGGTCTAAAGAGGCTTGAAAGCTGGGAATGTGAGTAGGAAATGAATATTAATTTTTGTTTTCAAATTTTACAAATCAAGATGGGACTAAGCAAATGATATTTAATTTCACCCCAATATTAGATTTTTAAAAATTCTTCCATGTCTGTACACATATTTTCTTTAGTCTTACGGTAATTTTTATTTTTCTTTAAATATGACTACAAAGTCACCATAATAATTTTAATATCTAAAAATATTCCATCAAATTGTTTTATCTTTAACTTTATTTTTCTGTTGCTGGACCATATTTAGGTTTCTAGTTCTTCAGCATTTTGCTACAGTTATCATATGTGCATACAGTATTTTCTGTTTTAGACTGTTCTTTTAGCATTGACTTAAAAGCTCATTGTATGAGTTTTTTATTACTCTTGAAACATTGCTGTGTTGTTTTCCAAAAGAGTTATAATTTACACATTTATCGTCCCTGTGAGTTTAACTACCAGCCTTGGGTAGTCTAATCATTTTTGCTAATTTGATAGGTGAAAAATATGTTGCACTCTTTTTCTTTGTTAACTAGTGAGGTTGGACCATTTTCTATAATTTCATTTACTGATTATTAGTAACAGATAAGTTGTCTACTCAAGACTTCTGTCCATTTATGTATTAGAGTCTTGCTATTTTATTTTTTAAATCTTTTGTGTTTATTAAATACTATTCAGTAGTAATTTGGTACAGATACTTTTCCCTGTAGACTTCCCTTTTAATGTCAGATATTCAGTTGAGGGTTTTTAAACAGACACAAAGGGGTCTGGCATACACAAAAATGTATTACTGAAAAATTATTTGGAAACAATGTCTAGTGTGTTTGAAGAAATGACACAAGAATTGGAGGTGGGGAGACAATTAAGATACTGTTGCAGTTTTGTCAGCCTAAAATGAAACTGGATTAGGACCTGGAGAGGGGAAGGAGTGAGGGAGAAAAAGTTGTTAGCATCTGGCCTCTAATTGATTATAAAGGTAAAGAAGAAAGAAGACTCAAGATTTTAAAGAGCAGGGAACAGACTGTATTATTAACTAATTTGTAAAGTCAGGAGACACCCCTGGTTGCTAAGGAAGATGAAATCAGTTTTAAACATGCAAGTTAGAGCTTGGAATGTCCAATAAGCATCTGTTCTTTTGTCAAAGTGCCTATGAGGTCCCTAATTGGGACTGGACATACACTGGACCTTACATTATTTTCTGTATTTTTGACTTTCAGTTTTATTTTTCCATAGGGTGTCCAACCTTTTGGCATCTTTGGGCCCCACATTAAATATGTTGTGACCCATTATCACAAAAAAATCTCATGTTTTAAATAAATGTATACTTTTGTGTTGGGCCGCATTCATAGCCACCCTGAGCTGCATGAGGCCTAAGGGCAGCAGGTTAGACACCTCTGCAGACTTTGTTGCTTTTATCAGGGCTTTCTTTCTTCTGATTTTTAAAATATAACTGGAAAAGTTAAAGTGGATTAATAGTAAAACAAGTTCAGGGAATTTATTTATTTAGTTAGTTAGTTATACAGAGAGAGGGGGAAGGGAAAGAGAGAGGGAGAGAAACATGGATATGGGAGAGAAACATGGATATGTGAAAGAAACATCAATCCGTTGCCTCTTGCGTGTCCCCAGTTGGGGAGCTGCCCTGTAGCCCAAGTGTGTGCTCTGACTGGGAATTGAACCGGTCACCTTTCAGTTTGCAGGAGGGTGCCCAGCCCACTGAGCCACACCAGTCAGGGCAAAACCAGATGATTCTTAAACTAAATTAAGGGAGATTAGTTTTTAATGATTTAAAAATATAGTGTTAGAGCATCATAATATACAAGGAAGCCTTTATTTTTTATTGATATTACTAATTTTATCACCTAAGGCCATTTTTTCATTGCTTTGAGAGCGAGGGAGGGATATTGGTTGCCTTCTTATATGTGCCCTGACCAGGGCTCAAACCGCAGTCTTGGTGTGTGACCTGACATGGAATCAAACCTGTGACCTTTTGGTCTAAATGATGATGCTTTAACCAACTGAGCCATACAGGCCAAAGCAGGATGCTTTTTAAACTATTAATTTTAAACTGTTAAGATATATGGGGTGAAATATCTTTCCTCTTCCTCAGTGGACTGAGTTTGGTGTGTTTTGTTTCAATTTTAACAAAATATAGAGAGGAAACATGTAATTCTGTGATACATATATGCTTATCCAAGATTCTTTAAATATATGAAATCCAAGTAAAGATGTCAATTGTCTTATTTTTGGAAACCACTTTTATTTCAGCAGCTGAAATTTAAGTGTTCTGTTTAAGGAAGGACTTTGGCAATTAGACATGGAAATGTGGAGTAGGCTAACTTTTGAGTGTTCTTCAAGAGGAAGAGCTTAAATTTACCAGTTAATTTCCCATGGTCTATTCCCGCCTTTTTTTCCAAGGCTTTAAAAAATGTTTTCTGCTATTTAGCAATGAAAAGGTTACAGTTTTGTTTTAGAAGTAAAGTGGGGTTTTTTTCCCCTTTTTGACTTGGCTTTTTAATTTGTATTTATAAAATCCAAATTTTGGGGGTTAGTGTATGTGTGAAATTTGAGCTACTTTGTTGCTTATGTCAAAACACTATCTCATTCAAATAATTTGGTATAAAAACAGTTTTCTGATGATAGTGCTAGCTTTGAGCTACAAAGATACATCCTATTTATAAATTGAGGAAAATAATTAAAAACATTCAGAAACAATGTCGTTGCATTAGTTTTTCAGCATTCTTGGTTTTTAGCAACTGTGGTGTGTGTGTGTTTTAATTGCTTCTTTTTCGTTAACCCCTTTTCTCTGGTGCCTTTTATTTTTCAAGGATAAGTCATTTGAGTTATAGGATGTCAGTCTTCTTTGTGCCTCCCGTTAGAATGATAGCTTTAAGAAAAAAATGAACAAACAAAAATAGAGACATTCATAGAGAGAGAGCAGGATGATGGCTATGAGAGCAGGGTTACAGGGTGGGGGATCGAGCAAAAAGGAAACAGGACTCATAGACATGGACACACAGTGTGGTGATTGCAAGGGGCGGGAGGTGTAAGAGGGATCAATGGTAATGGAAAAAAATGCAATAAAAGGAAAAGAAAGAAATCATTCATAGGATAGCAAAGAAGATACATCCAGCTTTAGAATATGTAGGGGTGACCAGCCTTTTTTGTGGGCGGGGTGGTTTAGAGCAAGTTTCTTAACCTTTGTGCCCCATCTGTAAAATGGGGATATTAATAGACCTGACCTGATAGGGTTAGGATTAGTATTAAATGGATTGAGACATGTAAAAATGCTTAGAATGACGCCAGATATTTAGGAAGCACTCAGATATTGGTGGTGGTGTTAGTATATATAATGATATGGTATAGTGTCTGTCATTAGTGTCTTGTCAAAGAACGTTTTAAAATATATATTATTATATTTATATGCAGAAATAAAACATCTAGACTCTGCCTCTGATTCAGTACCTTCTCAAAGGTCATCTCAACTTCTCTCCAAACTTCCTGCTTCTCTTCTCAACCTGGGTGAAGCTTTCCATGATACCTCCACAACTGTGGTAATCTGTCCGTATGAACTTCATGTATTTCTTCTTACACAATTCCTACCACTTTCTATGTTGCATTTCAGGGGTTTTTGTTCAAAGTTATGACCTTCTTACATGCAGAGAACTGTATCTTACCTTTGTAAGTTTAGAACTATTATGGGCCTTGGCACTTTGTAGGCAGTCATTTGTGGAGTGAAAGTTTATAAAAGGTATAGCAAGCTAAAAGATTATGTTTACCAAACATGTGCCAGTGAAAATGTGCTTTGTCAATGTTTGTACACCAGAACATCTTGACTGATCAGTTACTGAAAATGAGATCACTTGAGGTTTTAGAAATTGGGTCAAAATCAAGAACATGTACGGAGTAGAGCATAATACGTACTATCCAGAGGTCAAGAGTTTTCATTAGAATATTTTCCCCTTGGTTTTTGTTTGTTTGTTTGTTTAAAGATAGTATGTCTAATTAACCACCAAAGGGGTTGTTTTTCTTACAGAAACTGATTTTTCATAGATCTGCCCACCCACTAATCTTCATTATCGCCTGTAGTCCAGATTTGTGAAAAGTTTGACTAGGATTCAGGGTACATCCACTGCCAACACAGAATACACAAGCAACATGGGTTCAATCAGTTATTGAACCCATACTCTAAACTCTGCAAGTACATTTTGCTTATCACAGTGCCATAATGCCTCAACGCATGAAAGTAGGGGCACTGAGAATAGGAACTGGGTGAGAGATGTTACGAAGACCTTGACTTGATCCTTGGATACTGTAATATTGATAGGGTCTTGGCCTAGAGATTTAGAAGAAATGGGAATGGTGGGAAATAGGGAGATAAAATACCTGACTTAAAATAAGCATTTATACAGCTAACGTAGTCATTATATACTCAGCTTAAAAATTCTCTGAACTTTTACAGTAGTTAAATGGGATGTTGGATTTCATAAATATCTTAACATAGAAAACACTATTTGAAAATCAGATATTCTGTGCTCTGATTATAAGCTTGCTCTCATTGGTTGTGACCTGGTATACATTACTCTGCCTGAGTGTTTGCTTTTAGAGTGTAAGGGGCGTGGTACTAGGCATTTATAGTTCTTAATACTTAACTATTCCAATCCAGCACAGTATGTTTTCAAATAAGAACTCCTATAAGCATACTTACAATATTGATGTAACTCTGAAAGGTTAACTGATGTTTTAACAACCCTTGAGAATCAGAAGTATCAGAAAATGACTCAGTAACTTTAGCACTTTAGAGAAGTTGCCGCTATTTCTACTATATAGGATCAAATTCTGCGGAAGCTTTCATGTCCTACCTAGCTTGCTGTTTTGCTTAACAAGTGTTGTGTAAATGCTTTCATTGGCTGGCAAAACAGGTATTTGGAGTAACAGTTAAGCAGGTTTGTTGATTAATTTCACTGTAAAGTTTTTGTAGGCAGAAGAGGGCAGCTGGAAGATGTCATAGGGGAAAGATTCGTTTTCTTTTTTTCTTTTTTCTTTTTTCTTTTTTTGGTTGGCTTATGGTATGTTTGTTAGTGTGTTACTGAGTCTGCTAATCCTAATGGCCCTCTTAGGGGTTTATATTCATATTTATTTGTATTTAGTTTTACCTCAAATTCTATGGCAAGCACAAACAAAAACTTTTTCCTTAAGTAGGTTCCCTCAGAACAAACGAGAAATCTTTTTTTTATCTTTGTATTTTTTTAATCTTTATATGCAGTCATAAAAATGCTTCCAGTGTTTGTATAAAGTTGATGCCCTACACAGGACAGAGATGGGTTTTATATGAAGGAACATAAAAAGAAAAGCCATTTTCCTGTTTTTTATTCTTCTGTGTATCATGTGATACTGTCTTTAAGGCCTTTAAATTGCCGAGGGAACCCTGGTAACCAAGGCAAATTTTTGCTGTTTTCCTCTCAGATGTGAAGTTCTGCATTTTATTACTGTCAGGAAGAACTAGTCTGTTACCAGTAAATACGTAAGCCACAAAACTTGCTTCTCTATGCTGCCAAGTACTTCCTGTTTTGTCAGATTTCCATTTAGGGAAAAGAATGGATGAGCCTGGGTTTCACATTTAAAGCATCTCTCCTGAAATTGTTTGGAAGCTGTCCAAATATTGAGATTGGGGGGCGAAGTGGCACATCCTGTCTATACTTGAAGACATTTATCAGAAAACTTCATTTGGCTTTGTTTTAATGAGAGAGGGTTGCCAGGAAGAGAAATTTTTGTTGTCTGAAATAATTAGCATATGACTTGCCGACACTGTGCTCCACTGTAGGCTTTCTATATCACAGGTATTTCATTTTGTGAATTAATTATTACATAGCCCATAAAGAAAAAAATCTGTTCATTTCTAGTAGGCTTTTCCTTTACCAATATGTATTCTGTCACATGTACTCCGTTTTCAGTAGAGAGAGATGATAGGCCAAATGCTGATTACAATAGGTAGAAATGGACTAAGGACTACGTTGTTATTTTAGAATATCTTTGGGGGAAAGTTTGCAGTAAAATGATTCATAGAATCTTTTGAAACTAAAATAGTGAATAAGTAGAACATTTAGTTACAAATGATGAATTACTTGTCATGTTTTTTTATGAAATCAAACTTTTTTTTTTCTTCAGCATTTTACTTTATAATCTCATTTAGGGATTTATACAGTAAGAATCATGTCTTCAATAAAAATCTTATACAGATATATTTTTATATTTATTTGCAATTTATGTTTTTATATTATTTAAATTCTTCTGATGCTTTAAAAGTAAGTACAGGGAGTTGAAGACCACAATACAAATATTTCTGTGGAATATCAATTAACTTCAGGGGTAGGTTTTATTACAATTACTGAGGTTTTGTTTCTTCTTTGGATAACCTTTGTTGCATTGCACTCAAACGAATCACATTTTACATTTTTAACATGTATTTATATTATATTTTTAAATATAATGTTTTCTTAAATTAGCTGGTTTTTTAATAATAAATGTCCATATTTTTAAACAATGCTACTTGTTATTGTTTTGCTTGTCACCATTTATACAAACAAACATTACAAAGCTTGATATCTTCTTCCAAACTTTACAGTAAATGGCTATCATAGTCTAGTGAAAGTGTTCAGTTACTGTAATCTCCACTTTTAATCTTTAATATTTATCTTTAATCACAATTTATATTTCAAATCCATATGTGGATATATCATTTCAGGAAGTAATTTTTAGGAACAAATTATTTTCAAGCTGAAATTGTGTGTTTTCTTTAGTGTTATGTTTTTTAAGTTATTTTTAATTTCAAAGTAAGGGTACTTGCTCTGGTCTTAATCTTGGAAATTTTGGGGTTTTTTACATATATTATTTGGTATAAAAACTTTAAATTACAATTTTCAACAGCCAATGAAATTCCATTTTCTCCTTCCCAAAGAAATCTTAATAAATTGATATTCAGGGTAGGGCCATGGAAATTATAAAGATACACAGCTTAACCTTAATCCTACTTAAGAATCAGTCTAGAATCTTGCTCGCCCTATAATGATTGTCATCTGAATGGAACCTAGGCTACGTTGTGGAAGTACAGATAAAGTATTAAATTTTTACTATGCTTTTCATACATCTTCAAAGTATTCCATCTTATTTTATAGAATGTTTTCTTGTAGCTTGTGTAGTTTTTCCATTATATATGGAAAATGTATGTGGAACATGAAATCCACTTCTAATTAGGTAATGCCAGTAGAACATAAGTTTCGATGTAAACTTGAATTCCCTCATATTGCTGGTAAGAGAATCTTGTGTTAAGGTTCTTTTGCAGTGGTAGAACCAAGCATTAAATTGGCCTGGCCTGCCTTCAGTTAGAACTATTTCTCTTTTTTGACTTGTCACTAAAATACAAAAGGTGCTTTTTAATTCCCAAATACTTAGGTAGTTTCTTCCTTATTGGCTCCCTGGCATTTTGGAAATTTTCAGAAAACTGGTGCTGAATTCTGAGATATTTGAAACCATCTACTATAAAGTTTCTACCAAATACTTCCCTTTTCATTATCTCTGAATGTGCTCCTATTTCTGAGACACGTATTTCTTTAAAAATTCAACGAAAAAAAAGTTTTCCTTAATATCCATCATGACCTACAGAAAGTTTCATCCTCCATTTTTCCTTTATAAAAGAAGTTTCATACTTTTCAACCCTTTAAATAATTGTTCCTGTTGCCATGTTCACCTTTTAATAACCTGGGTCCAAATTAGTTAATCTCAAATTTTAGTGTATTCATAAGCATTATGTTAGGTTACTTGCTCAGAATACAGATTTCCTGGGACTCACTTCAGAGCTAGTGAATTCATTCTTTGGGAGACTCTTATGCAGGTGGTCTTTGAACCAAATGAAGAAACAGTTATCTACCACTTACAGTCCCACTGTTATCTAAATCAGGGGTCCCCAGCCTCAGAGCCACTTGACTGGTACCAGTCTGTGGGGCCTGTGACAAACCCAGCAAGGAACCCCGCCAGGAGTCAAGCTCTCCTGAGCTTCACCTGCGGGGGGGCCCCCCGCCCCACCCGCATCCATCCACAGTGTGCAGGCTAGTGAAGCTCACCTAAGCTCTGCCTTGTGCTTCTCTCTTGCTCCACCCCTCCCACCCACCCACCCACCCACTCCAATGCCAAGTCTTCCAAGAAACGCGTCCATGGTGTCAAAAAGGCTGGGAACCGCTTACCTAAATTGTTTATAAAGATTAGTCTTTTTATTTTATTTCAGTTATTGTCATCTCAGAACTTTTTTCCTACTAATTATGAACATCCTAAGTTTTTCTAAACTTCCTAAATTTACTGATTGGAGGGCTCATACTACCAGATGTTCAGGAAACTCTAAATTCCCTGGCTTGCTTGTTAATTTATCTTGTCCCCCTTCCCAAAACACATGTTTGTAGTTCAGTTTGTACATACAGTGTATGTATATAGAATAAGACACATTTCTAATATACCTTGCCTGGTGATTTTTAAAATGTGCTTGTTTTTCCTACTGGAAAAATAATTGTATCTTACTTTTCTATTTTTAATCTTTCCTGGCACTGTGGTACATTGTAGGCAGCCAAGTATTTGCATTGATTCTTTACTGCTCTCACTTGGTTGCTGCTTACTCAAACCAGTCTACTGAAGATGACAGGTTATCATCTTTATACCTCTAACTCTTATGTACTATTTCCCTTTCTTTTAATTATCAGTATTCCCTTCATGCTAACTGAAGAATAATTCTCCTACACTAAACATTGGTCTTGAAGTCTTTTGACTTTTCCTGAAAGTTTTTAAAAATTCCTATTCCCATATGGACTACATAGTTCAACTGTTTTAATGAATTTTCCTAAAATTCCACATTGTGTTTCCACATACAAAAGTCTAAGTCATGCACTTCAAACACAAACTCAAAATGTGCAAGGACCCTTGCTCTTCAACAACATCATCTATATATTAACCACATTACACCAGCATTTATTTTTTTAAAGAGCTGCTATTTATGGACTGGAGGAATACGTAAGGTGATTACCTTTTGAAGGGGTTGGATGGTCAAAGAATGAATGTCAGTTTTATTTGTAATGTGAATAATCTGAATCTTTTGCCCATTTAAAAAATTGAGTTTTCTTATTCTTGAATTTTGAGAGTTCTTTGTACATTTTAGACACGTCCTTTGTAAGGTTAGGTGATTTGCAAATATTTTCCCCTCGAGTTTTTGTTGTCTTCATTTTCACTTGTTTTTAGGAGTGCAGCAGCTTTTAATTTGGGTCTGACAGTTTTTAATATAGTGAGAACTCTTTTAAACTAAATTCAGAGGTCTTCTGTTTTCTTCTAGAAGTTTTAGAGTTTGAGATACGTTTGGCTCATCACTTTTGAGTTGATTTCTGTATATAGTACCAAGATATGGTTTGGCTTTTGTTGTTGGTTTGTTTTTGCATTGTGGATATCTGTGAAAAAGCACTATCCTCCATTGATTTGCCTTTTCACCATTGTCAATCAATTGACCATATTTGTGTGTCTATTTTAAGTCTCCATTCTGTTCCATTAATATGCCTATTACATTAATGGGATTTTTTTCTTTTTTGAAATTGTTTTGGCTGTTTTAATTCCTTTGCCCATATAAATTTTAGGAACAGCTTGATGATTTCTTACCACTCCCCAACCCCACTGCAAAAAATAGCCTCTTGTGAATTTTACTGGTTTTACATTGAATCTATAAATCAGTGTAGGGAGGCCTGGCAATACTGAAGTCTTCTGATCAGTTTCTGTTTATTTAGTCCTTTTTTTCTCACCATTTTATGATTTTCAACATAAAATCTTGCATAAACTTAAATGTATACCTAAATATTTGTTTTTATGCTATTTTAATTGTATGTAATCTTCATTTTATAGATGAGCAAACTAAATAACTTGCCCAAGATGACACAATTATTAAATGACAAAGCTGGTTTGAAACTTAAATGAGCTTATAAACCACTATTCTGGCTTTAATTACTATGTTAGTTTTATTATTAAATTATGGTTACAGTGGTGGTGGAAAGGAACCCCTATTTTAAGAAGAAAAATCCCATTACCATGCTTTTATAAAGGAATTGATTTCCCCCAAAGTTTATCTATTTTCCTAGCTTGAGTTTTCCACATCTTTTCAAATAATAAACCATCCTCACCTTAATTTACAAGCCTCTCTGATCAATACAATAGTGAACCAGTGTTTTTTCAGGATATCTTTTTTATTATTATTTTTTTAATTAGTTTGCATTCAACACTTTTAGTTTCAGGTGTACAACACAGCAGGTACATATTCACATAGGTTGCAGTGTTCCCACAGATAATTCAAAGTGCCCACCTGCCACCATCGATAGCTATTACAACATTGTTGACTATATTCCCTATGCTTTATCTTACATCCTTGTAACTATTTTGTAATTACCAATTAGTACTTCTTAATTTATCACTTTTTCACTCTGCCCCCAACACCCCTTTATTCTAGCATTCATTAGTCTGTTTCTATCTTGTTCTTTAGATTCCACATGTGAGTGATACATGGTACTTGTCTGTGGCCTATCTCATTTAGCATATTACACTCATTCTTTGTTTATGGCTGAGTAGTATTTCATTGTTTGTATGTACCACAGCTTTTTATGCCTGTGTCTGTTGATGGGCACTTGGGTTGCTTCCATATATATCTTGGCTATTGTAGATAATGCTTCAATGACCATGGGAGTACATATATTCTTTTGAATTAGTGTTTTGAGGTTTTTTTGGATATATGCCCACAAATCGTATACCTTATGCTGTTCACTAGTATGAACTATAACAAATTTTTTTAAAAATGTACTTTAGCATTTGAATGCATACTACTATGTTCTCATCAGTGAAGAAAAATCTGACTCCTTTTCTTGAGCAATTCCTATTTGTGGGAGGGATAGTTAACACCGTAACACACGCATTAACAGTAGAAGAACAAAAGCTTCTGTTTAGTTTTAAGAGTACTCACAGTAATTCACTTCAGGTTTTAGAGTTCCTTGTTTTTTTTTTTTTAAATAGTTTGACAACTGTTTAGTGGGAAACATGTAAAGGACTTTGAGAGGGAAAGATAATTTTAGAAGGCTTTCTTTTGGAGGTAATCAGTCATTAGGAAAGACCACTTAATAAATAACCTAGGTATTGCAAATTCAATATAGATATGGTAGAGTGCAGGAAAGTAAAATAGAGATCAAGCCTGGGTTCCATTTCAAAAGTTAGAGAAACACTATTAGGAGTGTTCTACATTGTCATGATTTTCATTTGTGGATTTCTTCTGGTTCCTTAACATTTTGATAAATGGGTAGGGTAGTTTTACAAAATGAGAAAGGAAATGGTAATTTGTCATCTTAATTTGCTCTTCAAGTCATAATTTGAAGAGTATTTTGTTTCAATCAGTTTAAGCATATTGATGATCTAACAACTTGATTTTTCTCATTTATTTTTCAGGTCCCTTTATGAATGATAGAAATAAAAGCAAGTAAGATGGCTCTAGTAGCTCTTAGTTGTCTTGAACTTCATTTGAAACCATTTTGTTAGATTGTATTGGGACAGCTGATACATCAGTGTGCATTTGAAAAATACAAATTCGGTGAATTTTGTGTAGCCATTTTAATATTGAAGATGGAAGATAATAAGCAACATTTTCGGCATATTATGCTTTTTTATTTCAAGAAAGGTAAAAACGCAACTGAAACACAAAAAAAGATTTGCGCAGTATATGGAGAAGGTGCTGTGACTGATCGAACGTGTCAAAAATGGTTTGCGAAGTTTCGTGCTGGAGATTTCTCTGTGGACGATGCTCCACGATCAGGTAGACCAGTTGAAGTTGATAACAATCAAATCAAGACACTAATTGAAAACAATCAACATTATACCACACGCGAGATAGCTGATATACTTAAAATATCCAAATCAAGTGTTGAAAATCATTTGCACCAGCTTGGTTATGTTAATCGCTTTGATGTTTGGGTTCCACGTAAGTTCAGTGAAAAAAACCTTCTTGACCGTATTTCTGCATGTGATTCCCTACTTAAACGAAATGAAAATGTTCCATTTTTAAAACAAATTGTGATGGGTGATGAAAAGTGGATACTTTACAATAATGTGGAGCAGAAGAGATCACGAGGCAAGCGAAAAGAGCTACTGTCAACCACACCAAAAGGTGGTCTTCATCCAAATAAGGTAATGTTGTATATATGGTGGGATTGGGAGGGAGTCCTCTATTATGAGCTCCTTCCGGAAAACCAAACAATTAATTCCAACAAGTACTGCTCCCAATTAGACCAACTGAAAGCAGCACTTGATGAAAAGCGTCCAGAGTTAGTTAACAAAAAACGCATAATCTTCCATCAGGATAATGCAAGACCGCATGTTTCTTTGATGACCAGGCAGAAACTGTTACAGCTTGGCTGGGAAGTTCTGATTCATCCTCCATATTCATCAGACATTGCACCTTCGGGTTTCCATTTGTTTCGGTCTTTACAAAATTCTCTTAATGGAAAAAATTTCAAATCCTTGGAAGACTGCAAAAGTCACCTGGAACAGTTCTTTGCTCAAAAAGATAAAAAGTTTTGGGAAGATGGAATTATGAAGTTGCCTGAAAGATGGCAGAAGGTAGTGGAACGAAACGGTGAATATGTTATTTAAAAACTGCATGAACTTTTTGGACAACCCATTCTTTAAACCATTTTTCTTTTTTAGGTACCAGCATCAAGGTACTCCACCTTTTCTAAAAATAAATTTGTTGCTTTGTTCAAAGTAAAATGTCCCAGCTTTTTCTTTCCTCAGAGGCTACTCTATCTCAATAGTGCAGTTACATAGTGCCCCTACAATTGAACCTAGTTTATTAAAATGTAGGTAGTGTACAAAAATCAAGTGCCGTATACGCTAGTGTTCTTCCATAAGTTGAAGAGCTAGGTTTATTTGCTCGGCTTTAGATTTGTCTGATGTTACGACATCAGTATAGATGAATGTTTTCAGGAACCTTAGATCCTCAAATCTAAGTTTCTTTAGAACCACTCTTTCTTTTTAAAAGGGTTATTAGCTATAGCGGCATGAATAAGAATACATGTACTCAAAGTACAATAATAAGAGATCCATATACCATTCTTTCTTTGGAAGTTTGGAAAAGTGTAAGAGTAGCCATAGGTCTGGCTCAGGGATAGTTAGCTTAGTAATTACCTCTCTATAGGTAGATCAGTTCAATACTATGTAGGTGTCTGGCCAAGGCCAACACTGATACCATTCTGAGTTAAGTGTATGAGTTGTAAAATGTAATAGGAAATTTTATATAAAAGAAGCCATGATAGTGAGATTGGTTTTGGCCTGTTTGTATAGTAGTTATGGAGGCACAATGATTGGCTATTTGCACTACTAAAACCCAGCAGCACCCTGCTACTAAACTCAGTAATTACGTTACCTTCCTAGGAAAGCATGTCAGTTGAAAGGAGTGATACTGGCATGAACTCAACAAAGGGTGTGTTCACCTGAATTCAAATTGTTTCTTCCTGCTGTAAATGCTACTGTTCAGGTTATGACAGCTGTTCTTACCAGCCACAATTATGAATATTTTTAGCATAAAATGGGGGCATTTTGATTTTACAGATTGAGAAATTTGTGACAGAATAGCAATTTTGTATTTAAATCTACAATAGAAGAAAAAAAATATATTCTTGTACGTGTATATCTAGAGGTTAACAGTGACTGATGACCAACAATCATTTCACTAAGTACAGAACTGGACAATGATATCAATTGCCTACTTACTACATTGGTAGGTACTTTTTATACAACATCCTAGCAGGATATGATCTTGAGATCCTAGCTGAATGATGGAACAGGGCTTTGAATTTAATCTGACTCCAAAGCCTCTGCTTGCAGTATTTTAAGGAATTTTTAAATATGCATAAATCTACATTTCAGTGCTAAGTAAATATACGTTCAATTACCCCCACCAATTTTGTCAGGCAGATATTAACCAAACTTCAGTGATTACAAGACAAAAATTTAATGAGAATTGGTCAGGGGGTATGTAATAATCCATGAGGCAATATAGTTAACATGGGGACTGTATTAGAAATTTAAAATAAATGCTGAAGTAAATTACATATTGTCATCATCTGATTCATCTTCTTCCTTCAAAGATTCCTGTTAGGAGAAAAACAGTGTTTAAAATCAATTTTGTAACAACCAAACCTAATTAGTCACTTAAAAAATTACGACTTCACCCTAGCTGGTGTAACTCAGTAGATTGAGTGCCAGCCTGCAAACCAAAAGGGTTCTGGTTCGATTCCCTGCTGGTCCCCAGTTGGGGGTGTGCAAGAGTTCCCTCCCTCCCTCTTAAATAAGATCTTAAAAAAACTTTATAACTTAAAAATGAACATTGAGTTAGAGTAAGACACCCAGATAAAGAAAAGTGTAATTAAATATATCTTGTCTAACAGCCAACTGACCATTTTTGAAAGAATATGCACAATATGAAAGCAAAAACCTTTGCCCGTAAGAAAAAAAGAATATGGAACCAGGGCAACTTCACTCCATTGAGAATAACCTAGAAAACTTGTATCTTCAGTTCAACTCTTGTTATTTAATATAAATCATTATTCTATTATTTCCATGGAGTTTTCATGCAGTGTACTTACCTTAGCATATTTCTCCGCCTCTTCCCTTATATCTTTCGGAACAATTTCATGTCTTCCTTTAGTTACTAGAAATGAAGTCATATATTTAAATGAATTAAAAACAAGGACTATATTGTGATTTACATACCATGCAATCTACCCACAATCCACAGTTATGGTCCATCTAAAATTAATGTAAAGTTGTACCTTAATATTAGGTGCTTTGAATTCATTTTTGTATTTTCTCTACAACCATAAGAGATTAAATCTGCTCAAATTTAGCTCTTACGAAAACAAAATAAATTATGCTATGATTTACCCTGATACTATGATAAATTCTGAGTATTAATGTACAACATGACTAATTTTTTTAAACTGACTTTGAAGCTCTGTGATTACCATGTTAGAAAAAATTGATTTCTCAGTAGTATCTCTGAAAAACATGAAATGAATGTTTCAAGAAGTTAATAAACCATTCACAACTATAGTCAACTATGAGGCAGACCTTTCTCTTTCAAAAAAGACTACCTGGTAAATTTGTTAAGGCCTTCTCTGTTCTATGTCCAAACATATTTTGGCAATACCTACTGCAATCGAACATATGTGCATTTCATGACCCAGCAATTCTTAGATATATTTTTAATTGAAATGCTATGTTGGTGTACCAAAATAATTGTACTTGCTGTCCACAGCTGCAATATTCATTATGGTAATCAGTAACAGAAGAAAAATAAATTGTGGTATATATAATAAAACACTATTCAGCAAGACAAATGAACAAATACTACTAAAAATACACAGCAACACAAATGCCTTACACAAATATAATGTTGAATAGAAATCTGGGACAAAGATACATATTGTACAGTTCTGTTTATATAAAATTCAGTAGGCAAAACTATGGTGGTAGAATTCAGGATAGTGGTTAACTTTGAGGGAGAAGGTACAGAACTGATTTCAAGGAGGCCTAATGGGTGACCTGGGGGCTAGTGTATGTGTTGACCAGAGCAGTGGTTACATGACTATCATGTTGTAATAATTCAGCAACTCATTTGTATAGTTTTCTGTATGCATATGTAATTAGCAGATTATTTTTTTAAAAATTTTAAAGGCATCCTTTAGTAAGTTCAGTTTGGTACAGAAAACTTGAGAGAAAACAAATGCACAACAGTAACTTACTTTCACCAACCCAGCTGAGCTCCAGTTCAAAAGCTTTATCCTTAACTTCATCGTGCACTATGTAAATTCTAGAACAGAAAAGGGAAAATTAATTCTATCATTTGGTTATCTACAAACATTGTAGTTCATGTACCCAGTCTGCACAAATTAAACACCCATTCCTAATATAAAATTACACACATACATAATTTATATTTATGCACACTAGAAAAGACAGCAAATTACATGAGGATTGATGAACACTACAAATGATTCAATATACCTTTAAAACCTATAGCTGTGTACTTTGATACATTGTTTTGAAGACATAACTAAAAGAGATACAAGGAAGGCAAACCACCTGTGCCTTTCAGGATAATTGTTTTCTCCATTCAGTAACTGACTAAGTTTGCAGTTATCAGTGGTCTTTTTTTTTTCTTTAATCTGAAACTTCTCAGAAGAAATCTTTTTAAATCCTTGTGCATTTTCCCCTTAACCTGGCCTTCAAACTACAATGCGTGCCAAATTCAAACAAGGAGGCACTGTCACATAACACATTAAAGTAAAAATTCAAAAAATTAAGTTATCAGAGCAAATCTTTCCTATTTTATACTTTCCACCATGTTACTTTACTTTTGGAGAGCATTCCTAACACCTTGCTGTAACGTGAGAAATCACCTTACTTTTGTGAAACTACATTTTAATAAACAATGGATGGCTTTCCTACATCCATTGTAGGAACTAATTAGTGTCTACTGTTACACCTAAATAGAAACGGTTGGGTAAGGGCTAATTTCCAGAAGCACTTTCCAGTGAAGAAATAGGAGTCTGTCATGTTAACAACTGTTGTACAATTAATGAGGATTAATCACTTTTTTAAAAGTGGTTTCTGCTTCACAACTAGAAAGGGGAGGGGTCTGGTAAAAGCAGGGGAGCAGGTGAGTGGAGTAAAAGAAGTGGTGGAAAAGTAGGACTTTTAAAATTATACTTTTGAGATTTTAATATGTATAAAAATCAGTTCAAAGAGATTAAAGGAATCATTTAGTATACTTACTTAAGGTTACATAAAAGAACTCTTAGGAATTTTCCCCTTGCATGTATTATTGGATGTAAAAAAACTTCAGACACTTGTACAAAGAGCTGACTGACTAGACCATGTTCCTGTGGAATAGTTAGAGGTGCTGTGAATTCTCTGGAGAATTATGTTTATGACTTTAAAATCTGAAAAGCTGACTGCAGAACCAGCATTTTACTGGATTTTTTGAAATATTAAATGCCTGCGTTCCTTGACTTAGAAGAATTAAGAAGCACTGCCAACTCAGGTTTACTGGCTTTGTTGTTGCTAATTATTACATAGCATTCTACTCCATACCTGTAATATGAACCACTTCAGGCTTTCTTAAATTCTTTTAAAATGTTCTGAAATACTAATCTTGTTACAAGAACTTTTATTATTAACACTCTCTTGCCCAAAGAAACAAATTACATAAATGAGTCAATTTCATGGGTCACATACAGAAATATTTAGCTGTAAACCAAAAATAAAGTTTGTAAGTTAAGATTACTATTACCAGGACTTTTGAGATTTGGGAAGCTGGGAACTATGAAATGAAGTTCCCAGAGGTCTACTATATCCTCCTACCTTTGAATTCTGTCATCTAAACAGGAGTTTATTTGTCAAAAGGTATTTTTTCCCATTTCATTCACTGTCACTTAAAATATGGACATGCTCGTTAATTTTCCTTCAAATATTAAGTTCACCTTCTAAAATTATGCCCTGTTATCTTCAAGCAAAACAGCCTTTTTGAATTAATTTTAAGGTAAAGTGAAATATTTTTGTCAATGGTTAAGGAAAATTTCCACTTACATTTTTGCAACTTCTTTAACAACATCACGGCAGGTCATTTCTTTCATCTACAGGGGGGAAAAAATATATGTATATATAATGAGTCAAAGGAACGCTTTCCACTTGTGTAACTATTGTCA